AAAAGTTTGCGCAATTAAATTTTGGGATGATTTACAAGAAATTTAATTTAAAGTGCAAAGAAGAGGCTGGGCAAGAAATAGTGATACTATATGTTAAGTATATTAATTAATAAAATATAAATATATATATATATATATATATATATATATATAGTGAAATATTTATTAAGACTTGACAAACAAATATAATCTAAATCAGTCTAATTTGGATGTCTTACTGGTAGGTAATTCGTCTCAAAGCTGTGCCTTTTATCATTCGGATCTTAAGCTCGTATTCAACTAAAAGAATGTTGGCTTAAATAAAACCAAGTCTACTTTATTGGAAACTTCCTTTATTATCTCAGCTGGCCTCCAGTTAAAAGCAAAAGATAACAAATTGAATGAACTCTTTTCTATTTACCCAATGGCATCTTCAATAGACGTAGCCTAGCCTTAAAATAATATTGAATATAATGCATATTGCGCTATCATCTTATGGGCGTTTAATATCCTCTTGCATCTCCATAGGAGCCAATGCTAAAAATTTTTAATTTTTGTTTATTAACCATAAATTGCAAAATAAATAAAAATAAACAAAAAATAAATTAAAATATAAAATATACAATAAATTAATATATAATAAAAAATAATAAAATTAAAATAAACAAAAAAATAAAATAAATAAATGAAGAAATGATATCAAATATATTGAAAAATATATAATAAATTAATAAATTTATATATAAAATAAAATAATAAATTTAAAATAAATAAAAAATAAAATAAATAAAATTAGAAATAATAACAAACATATTTAAAAATATATAATAAATTAATAAATAAATATATACATATATATAAAATAAAATAATAAAATAAAATTAGCCAAAAATTAAAATTAATAAAATAGAAATATTATCAAATATATTTAAAAATATATTCATATATAAATAATAAATAATTTTTACCATATTATAAAATATATTTTATTACAATATTCCTTACCATTATTCACTTCTTAAAAAAATGCTTTATAATCCAAAGCAGAGTCTGTTCTGTTTTATCTTTACAATTCAAAGATGTATTGAAAAAAAATAAATATATACATATACACAAAATTTTATCAACTGAAAGAAAAGAGCAGCTGAAAGCTTTCCATGAAAATAAACCGTAGAAAAGTTAATAGTGCGGAAATTTACATTTATGTTAAATAGATGCACAGCTCACTTCAGGTGTTCCATAGATATCCATGGACACACATACAGATGTATATATAATAATGTACATATATATGCTTTATAGCGATTGTTATAGAAATGGCAATGCGCGCATATAAATATAAATATTTATGCTAAATAAATGAATATAGACCGCCGCATTATTTGCATAGAAAAATGCCAGCATCGGGCGGGAGTACATAAAACGCGGCACTGGGGAGCCAGCAGCTAGCTGATATTATGCCAGTTCAGCGTATCAAATGACACGTTTTAACACTTTCACACGGAGAGAGAGAGAGAGAAAAAGAGAGAGAGGGCAAGCAAACGGCGAGTTGAAATTGGAGCTGCATTGTCGAAAGACAGCGAGTGGGCGTAAGAGAGAGAGAGAGAGAGAGAGAGAGAGAGAGGGAGAGTACTGGGAGTAGCTTGTGCAGCCAAGCGGTTAAGGAGTCTGAGTCCAAGTCCATGTCTGTGTGTGTGTGTGTGGGTCGTTCAGAATATGGCTCGAGTGCATATGAACCATAAGCCGCATTTTTACGTGCAGCGTGTGTGTCTCTGCCATGTTCATGTCACTGAGAATATGAGTGCAGAGCCAGTGGCACTGGCAGTGAGTTGAATTTCCTTAAAGCTGTTTCGACATCATTTCAAGGATGCAGGCAGATTACAAGGGAACTGCCAATTGGGTTGGACAGAACAAGCAAGCAATTATTTTGCAATATCTGGGAAATTAACAAACCCTTTCCTGTCTAACTTGATTACCTGGGCAGCTACCGGCGAGGGTAAAAGAAACCGAAGGAGTGGCTGAAAAGAAAAAAGAGAACGAAACCTTATCAATGAAACGAGTGTCAGTTTTGTGGCCAACGGCAACAGGAAAGCAAATGTAAACCGAAAAGGAAATGCTGCAAAATGCATGAGAAACATCACACGATAGATGGGCAAAAAAAGAGAGCAAGAATGGGGGGAAAAAAACGTTGCTAAACCCCGAGGTTAGCCCATAGGTTTGGCATAACATGCGCAAACTATGAATCAGTACAAATTGCAAGACTGATTCGATTATTAATCAACTCAGGTTCTCACTGGGAGATGAAGATGTTTTTGATTAAGGATTCAGTTTGGCTCAATTAGAGATATGAAGGATAGTTTGACGGGAGAAATTTGCAATGTTTTTATATTGAAAATTATTTTTTGAATGTTTGCATTGAGTCTCTAATAAGGTTTAGCTCATGTTTATGTGGAGCAGCATTGAATATAAATCGAGTTGTAAACAAAGGGGAATACGCTGTTAATTCCATAAAAGATCATTTTTTCCTTTATTTTTGTTTTTCTATTGCTTAAAAGTTTGTCTTTTGCAATCTATTATATTGAACCTTGATCTTTACATTTATAAATTTAATAACTACAGAGACATCAAGGCTCCATCGCAGCGTTGTGGAAGCTCTAATGGATTTTATTGCTATACAAAAGACTAAAAGCTCTTTATGAACTTCATTGTTTGAGTGAAGTCTATGAAGTATATGTCTAAGTATGATTCTAATGACAGCAGTATTTTATTCGGTTTATCAGTTATGAATCCTATTACTGCAACTTAGTAAATTTTACTAAATACAATCAAGTTTTCAATTTCTTCTGATGTTATTTCTCTATATAAATGCCAAATATATTAAACAGCCTCCTCTCAAGTCTCTTCCAATTTCAAAATTTTCTGTAACGCCGCCCTCGTATTGGCCAAGTCTAATAGCAACTGGCGTTGAAAGTCTGGCCAATTCGTTGGTTACGTTACGAGCTTTTTGTTGATGCGCCAGCCCGAAGGCGGCGACAACTCAGCCTCAGACGCAGCCTCAGCCTCCGCACAGCAACTACTGAGAGCGAGTCAACATTTTGCTAACTATTTTTTTGTTTTTTGTGCTTTTTTTTCTATTTTTGTGTTTGCAACATGCCGCCGCAATCGTGTTGGCTTTTGCTGCTGCAGCTCGCTTGTAAATTAAGCAATTTGAAATGTTGGCCGCAGTTACCCAAAAACTCACACCTCTCTTCCTCTTCCTCTCCCTCTGTCTCTATGTTTCTCTGTCTCTGCTCGCTGTCTCGCCTCCCACTTGAAGGAGAAACCACAAAGTGCTCGCCCACCACCTGTGTGTGCGGGAGTGTCCCTGCTTTAATCGCTGTTGTAGCTGGCTGTAACTCGAAGAGAAACAACAGCAATAACGACAGCGAGCGCTGCACAGATAACTAAGAGGTATGCTGAAGTCGATGGCCCCTAAACAGAGCCCGGCCCTTCCACACGTATACACGTTTTTTTGTCTACCTTGTTTCTTGATTACCTGTACTGCGCGCCGGCCATTTGCTTCAGTTGGTCAGTCCGCAAGGCTGCCGTAGTCAGAGCCATTTTAATTTCACTTTACGGTTTTCAAACACAAAATCCTTTTGCCACTACACAACACACACACACACACACACACACACTAGACTATAGCCAAGTGCAAGACTGAGTGTGAGAGAGAGAGAGAGAGAGAGAGAGAGAGAGAGAGGATGGGAGGGAGCGGTATGGCCAACCAGGTGTAACCAGGTCTCCCTTTTTTATCGTCGTTGTCTGTTTGTTAGAGGATGAGGGTTGTTTGTATTTCGGTTTGTGCTATTAAAGCTGAAATGGGAAATTAAAGAGGGAGAGACTGAAAGTGAGGTGAAGAGAGAGAGAGAGAGAGAGAGAGAAAGAGAGAGAGAGATAGATAGATAGATAGATAGATAGATAGATAGATAGATAGATAGAGAAAGAGATAGCGAGAGAAAGAGATAGAGAGATAGATAGAGAGATAGATAGAGAGATAGATAGAGAGAGATAGATAGAGAGAGGGTAGACAGAGACCGACAGAGGCAGAAGGAGGTAGACAGAGATTGACTGATCGACACGAGTATGAATAGAAACGAAGTGAGTCAGACACAGACGGAGAGAATACAGTTATAGATGGACAGAAACGAACAGCGACAGACAAAAAGGGACAGACATAAAAAGAGACGGACAAGGATGTACAGAGGCGGACAGAGACAGAAAGAGACGGATAGAGACGTGCAAGGACAGATTGTGACAGTCAGAGATAGACAGACAGTTAAAAATGCAATTGGGAAAAGTTAAAGCTAAATAATTATCCCATATTTGACAAATACTACATTACTTAAATATAAGAAATTCTTCAAAAATAGCTGTTATAAAATTATAGGAGCTCTTCTTTTTAACTTAAACTTAAGACAAGCCAATTTAAAAGCCAACAAAAAAGCGGGAGGGAATGTATGAAAGTAAATAAACAATCTGTGACGCCAGCTCAATTGCGGGCGACAATATTGTTTTTAATGATTTCCCATGAAATTTATCAAACAGACAAAGAGTAAAAGACAGCGAGCGAGAGAGAGGGAGAGAAAGAGAAGGAGGACCGACTGAAAAAGGCAATGAAATGGATTTTCCCTTTTATATTGTTGCGCACAATCACAATAAGTAAGCAAAATAAAGCTAAAGGCAACAGCATGGCCAAAACTATAAAGCATATGCGAGTGCGTATTGCTGGCCGAAATAACAACAAAGGATATGAAAAGGCAAAGGATATGCAGCAGACGACGGGGCGACACACAGACGGCCAAAAGGAAAAGCCGAAAAGCTGAAAAGCGGAAAAGCTACGAAGCAGCGCTTGAGACTGGGCAAATGCTGCGAATGACCTATAAACTAAATGGCTGGCAAGTTTACAATGCGATTTACAATCAGGCTAAGAGCTCATTGTAGTGCAGCATTTGGGATATCTTAATGCATCTGCTAATTAAACTAAAACTAAAATCTAACGAGCTAAAAATGGAATCTCCTCAGCTTGCATTGTTCGGGCAGCTAATTAGCTGCGGATATACTAGCCAGATTCAGCTTATTTATATGCAGAGGGCTCGATGGCTGAGCATCATCAACACGAAATGGCCACAAAAACTTAACGAGTAAATAAAACCAACGAAAAACCGCAAACACACAGACACACACACACACATACACACATACATACATATAAGATAAAAAACAAACGAAAGTGTGGCGTGTGAGCTATACGAGTTCAGCCAAAGTTGCGTTAAGAAATCAAAGTAACTTTCTTGGCTTGGCTATCCACACGCCTCCCTTCTACTCTCTCTCCCTCTCTCTCACTCCTCTATTTGCCCTTGCTTTAGCTGCTTGTACTTTTTGCTTCATCAACTGCTTTTCACTTATTGCAAACTTTTGCCAGTGCCAGTGGACTAGCGCCAAGTTTGCTGCCTGACCAGGATAAATTTATATTCAATACTCTGTAAAACAATAAATTTAATCAGAGGGTAGCCCAGCCAGCTAAGAACAGTTTCTCTTGCACCACTCCAAGATTGTTGACTGTAGATTAAACTGCATTGTTTACTATCAGTGTCTGTGTGCGATTGCTGAGATTAATATGCGAAATTTGTTAGTCTCAATCTTAGCTCTAAGAAATTCACAATGGGATCAAAATAATGATTAAGAAATAATAATTCATTTAGTTGAAATTAATTTACTAAAACTCAAAATTTACATTTGATTAATTGCATTTTATTTATTATTAGCAATTATTTAATATGATTATATAATTTCATATAATTAAATTTAGTTTAATTTAATTTAAATTGTTATTTTTACATATATTAATTTCATTGTAATTGCAACAATATTTTAATTTTTTAATTTTAATTTAAATAAATTAAAACATTAAATAAACTCTGTATATAAAATATTTTGTTTGTTATTCTTTTAATTTTTATTTCAGGTTTCTATTTCATTAAAATAATTTGTTTTCTTTTGTTTTAATATTTTATATATATTTTATAAAATATTTTTTATTTTAGTAAATTCGTTTATCAGTTCGCTTGTATATTTTGGTAATACAATTTTTTATATTTTTTATTTATAATCTATTACGTTTGTTGTTATTTTATTTGCATGCCATATAATTTTGGTGTAAATTTCTTTTATAAAAAAAAAATATATATGTGTTTCTGTACATAATTGCGCTTTATATTTTCAACTATTTTTTATTTTGTGTAAAAATGAATTAGTAGTATGTATATTTCCAAATTCTTTGTATAAATATAATTTATTTTCTGTATATAATTTTTTGTAGTTCTCCATTAAATTACATTTCTTTTTATTCATGTGAACTACGCAGTTTTAATACTTTGATTTATATTCAAGGTCCAGTCTGATAAATTTGTATAAATCTAAGCAAGACGTAGAGCAATAAATTTGCTATCTCTTGACAATTTATTATACCATTTTAGGTTTTCATATCTTGGCGCAATCTCAAAGACTTTTAATTTCCAGAGCATCATAAATTTGCTGCCCAAACCTTTTGGCAGACCAACTATACTGAATGCAGTCTATAAGCTGGCCAAAGGACAATGGCCAAATCATGCGTGTTATTTTTGCGAATGAGGAATGAAGAAGCAGCGTTGATAAGTTCACAAGTTCCCAAGTCAAAAGTTGAAAAGTTGAGGTGCAACTGCTGCTGCTGCTGCTGCTGCTGCAACTGCTGCAACTGCTGCAACTGCTGGACTGGGTTAATTAAAAAACTTTTGCTTGGTATATTTTATTAAATTTGCGTTGGACCAATTTATGACATATATGCATCAGCTATATACATATACATATATATATATATAAATATATTTCTCGGAAGTAAAACTGACTTTAAACAAAAACTGAGCTGCTACGCCAGGGGATTCATCCAGGTGGGCGTCGCCTGTTGGGCTCGGTTGAGAGTTGCCTTGCTGACATCGGCTGTGGCACTTGGATTGCCCCGGCTGGCGTGCCACTCGTCGGACTCGTAAAACTTAAAGCCTTGCCGGGCTGCCATTTCGTAGGCGGCCATTGGCCCGCATGAGCCAAACTCGTAGTAGAAGGGCCGCGGGCGCTCGTACTCGATCTCGGCCAGGACGGGCGAGAAGATGCGCCAGATTTCACACTGCTCGTCGGTGCGCATGAACATCATCTGGTTGCCGGCGAAGACGTCCAGCAGCAGAGCCTGATAGTTGGCCGGCACCGCCCGATCGCGCAGGAGCAGGTCCAGCTCCGTCTCGCGGAGCGCCATCCTCGGCCCCGGCCGCTTCTGCATCATGCGCATGAAGAGCTGCTCGCGCGGCGCCAGGCGCAGCACCAGCTCATTGGGTATGCTCGAGGAGTTGCCACTGTGGTTGCACTGCGTCGGCTTGTACTGCACCCGCACCTCGGTCTTCGTCTCGTTGAGCGCTTTGCCCACGCGCAGGATGAAGGGCACGCTGGTCCAGCGCTTGTTGTTGATGCGCAGCACAGCCATCGCATAGGTGGGCGTCACCGAGTCCTTGGGTATGTACGAGTGCTGGGTGTAGCCCACCTTGGCGGGATCCTGCTCCCGGCCATTGTTGACATACTGACCCAGCAGCACGTCGCTGAACTCCACGGTGAGCACCTGCCTCAGCACCTTCAGCCGCTCGTCGCGCAGGTCCTCCACATCGCTGCTGTACGGCTGCTCCAGGGCGAGCATCGCCAGCAGCTGCATCATGTGGTTGGTCATAACGTCGCGTATGATGCCGTACTGATTGAAGTAGTCCGCGCGTGCCTGCACCGGCTTCTCGCACTTCACGCTGATCATGATCGCTGCGATGTGCTTGTTGTTCCAGGTCTCCGACCAGATCAGATTGGTGAAGCGCAGCACGAAGAAGTTGTGGATGACCTGCCGGCTCAGGTAGTGATCGATCATGTAGATCTGCGACTCCTTGAAGGTCTGGCACAGCTGCGTCTGGTACACCTTGTACGCAACGTCACTGCGCCCGAAGGGCTTCTCCACCACCACACGATTCCAGCCGCTGCTCGAGAGGCACTTGCGCGCAATGTTCAGGGTCACCTGGTCGAAGACAATGGGCGGCAGCGCCAGGTAGAATATCCGATTGGCCACCAGCATATCGTGCCTGCTCTCCTGCCGCGCCATGGCGGCCGTGAGCTCCGCATAATCCTCCGCATTGTCGTACTGGCCCGCGAGGCAGTACACGTTCGTCCAGAAGCTGTTGTACTTCTCCGGGTCGCGGCTCCTCTCCAAGTCCATGTAGGGCACGCACTTGATGCGAAATGTGCGCAGCTCGAGCTTCGTGCGACAGAACGTGAAGATCTTGATGCCCTGCGGCAGGCGATTGTCGCGATAGAGTTGCCAGAGCGCCGGAAAGACGCGGCTGAGCGCCAGACGACCCGAAGCGCCGAACACAACAAACGAATAGGCGACCTCATTGGTGCTGTCGATGGGAAGCATTCTGGATTTGCAATTTTGATTGTCCAATAAAAAAAAAAAAAACAATTTATTTTTTTTTGGGTTTTTCTAAAATTTAATTTAATTTATTGCTGATTCCATGAGAGTAAAGTCAAAGTGGGTAGAAATTTCTAAAAAGTTTCATATTGTTTTAATTTTATTTTTATTAAAATTATTAATTTTTTTTTATTAACATTATAAATACCATTATTATTTTTATTTGATATTAATATTATTTTTTTAATATATTTTTTTATTATTATTATTATTATTATTATTATTATTATTATTATTATTATTA